GCACCCCCATTGCCAGGGCGAGCACAGGGCGCCATTGGCCACAGGGCACCAGGCGGCCAACACAGCCGCGGCTCAGCAGGGAGAAGAGGAGCGGTACAAGCTCCAGCTCCTCGGTTTCCCGCTGTCAGAGGACTCTGTGTCCTCAATCTCTTTTTCTATTTCAAAAGGGAAATGTCAGGGTTTTAGACCCCTAATATTTCCCCAAAGCCCCCCAACAGTAGAAATAAATAATAAAAAAAAACAAAATACCCCCCTTCCCCACACGCACACACTCATCACTCATGCACACATATTACTAGACATGTGCAAAGACTGAAAATAGTTTCGGACGAAATGAATGGAAACTAAAAATGTTTTAGTTTAAAATGTTCAAATGAAACAAATTTGTATGCTATTTTGGATTTGGCCACCAGCGCATTCTGTGCATGCGCACCGCCATTCTGGAGGGGGGCACATGACGTCAGCTACGGCTCTGGAGTGAAGGGTAAATTTTTAACTGATATTAAAGTGTATCTAAACCCAAGAGCAAGAATGTAATATATTGCAGCTTACCAGTTGTGGCGGTTAGATATGGTGGCTCCATTAGGTTTTTTTTTAGGCTAAGAACACTTTTAGGAAGTATAAAAAATACCTGTTGATCTTACCAGAAATACAGTGTTCTGGTCACTTCTTGAGAATTAAACTGAAATCACAAACAATGGTATCTTGCTTCCATGCTATCTTCTGTAAACTACAAATGTCCTCCCTGGAGTGTTTGTAGTCTAGATCAGCAACCATTGATTCTATATACAATGGTTCCCAACCTTTTTTTTTTTTTACCGGTGTATTACTTGGCAGTTCATTTGTATAAACTGTACCCCTCAGTGGAGGTGGGGCTAATGGTAAAGCATGTAGCATGCTGCGCTGAATGGTAGGTGTGGCCATATTGCACAAACAGTAGCAGGTCCTCAAATGCCACTGTGTCTCTGTCAGTGAGATGAAGGAGAGAGCTGGGAGGCTAGGGTAGGGGACTCCTTGGGGTATGCCATATTGTGTTGCTGTGTCTAGTGTTATCTTGGGGTCTCTTTGGGGTGTGGTCTGTGAGACTGAATACCCTGGATCTAGGGCTCCTTGCACTTTAAGAGAAGCTGAAGGTTACAACACTCAGCTGGGGACTAACTGAGGTGTTGGCAGCCACAACTATAGAATCATTCCTGGAAAATACAGCCAAAGGACTCTGCAGACCTTCTACACACATTTAGGCCCTGACTGAGACTCCCCACTGCCGCAGCCTTTTTCTGCCATTACAACAATATTTGTACCCCCAAATGTGCTGCCAAATATCCCTAAAGGTACTTGTACCCCAGGTTGGGAACCGCTGCTCTATAAATACATTAGAAAAGTAAGTGTAGCCACAGAAAGGACAGAAAGCGGTTTATTTGCAGGATTACCAGGTGTAAATAAAGACAACAAAAAGTCTGGAAAAAGAAAATTAAAAGAGTCCCCACATCTAAGCACAAGCCAGCTGCAATATATTACATTTTTGCTTTGGGGTTCAGATAAACTGTAATGTAAGGACACTACCCTGACCTTTAATTTAGGGAGATTCTTTTTCACCAAACATCAACATAAGGGAGGAGGGTGTTAAAAGAATTATTGTATCAAAAAATTGTATCAAAAGACAATGAATATGTTGCATCAATTTGTCATCTGTCCTTTTTTTTAAACCTTTTCTTCTACTCTATATATGAAGCAATAAAAAGAGTAATCACAACAAAACAAATACAGGTTTGAAAAAAAAATAGTTATTTAAGTGTTTATCCTTAATGTATTACTATATCTACAACGAATCACGCTAATGTACCATTAATTGTCCCTAAAAATATTTAAAGGGTTCCACCAGGGTAAAAAGGTTGAGTCTGTCTGCACCAGCTTAGATTTCTCCTATGATCCAGTGTGGAACTATGTTTTCACTCCTGTTTGCAAGAGTTATGTGGACTATCTGCCTGGAACCTAAACCTTTCCAGAACTTGAGTGATGTCACTGCTAGACCTTCCCAAAACAGTTGCATCATCAGCAGCTCTGATGAAGACCTAATACTTCAGGGCTATGCTTTGGATGATCCAATGTGCGGCTACCATACACCGGGTCCCGTGTTTCTGACATCATTAGGTTGTCTGTCCCTTGTTCAGACAGCTAGACCCTGATTATGCCCTGCCAGCTC